AAACTGAGGCACCGGGATGGGGAGAGAGGCCCTGGGATGGATGGGAGAAACTGAGGCACGGGACGTGGAAACAGATGGCGATTGACGGGGACTCAGACACGGAGGGCAGCATCCCCCCTGCAGCAGCGAGCGCAACACAAAACCACGGACACCGAGTCATGCCGGGCTCCCGGGCGTGTATAAAACCATGGAACAACAGTGGGGCGGTGACAGGGGGACAGCGGCGGCTGGCCAAGTGGGGGACACCCCGTGGTCACTGTGCCCTCTGTCCGGGGTGCCGGGGGCCCGAGGCCATGGCGGGCTCAGAGCAGGGTGATCTCGCTGGGCGGCAGCGTCAGCCTCTTCTCCCGGGCACCCAGCAGCCTCTCCATGTGCGCGGCCACCACGCGGCACAGCTCCAGGCCCTGCAGAGGGACACACCGGGGGTCAGCGGCCGTGCCACCACTGAGAGACCCAGCAGGGCTCCCCGCGATGTCCCCAGGTGTCCCTGACCTGCTCCAGCTGCAGCTGGGTGATGCCCTGCGCCAGGAGGTCTCCCAGGGTGATCTCCACGTAGGGATAGCTGGATCCAGCTGTCGGCCGCTGTGTCCGCGTGGACTGGATCTCATTCAGAGAGAACTTGGCGATGAGTTCCTGGGAGGGGGACAGGGGGGTGGCCAGTGCGCCCTGGGAACCCCTCCAAGGGGACAGGGAACCCCAGCTTGGACAGGACCTGGAGCAAGCTGGTCGGGTGGAAGGTGTCCCTGCCCATGGCAAGGGGGTGGAACTGGATGGGCTTTAAGGTTTGTTCCAACCCAAGCCATTCCATGATTCCGTGTGTCCCACTCAGCCCCACACCTACGTGGGTCTCCTTGCTGAGGAAGTTGAGGCCGTTCTGGTTGACGGCCAGGATACAGGGCGAAACGATGGCGTTGTTACTGCAGCTCTGGATGTAGAAGAAGGACGAGCCGAACATGGGGTAAGCGCTCAGCAGCCCTGCAGGGCAGAGGACGGGGTCTCAGTGCTCACTGCCACCCCTGTGTGCCCAGTCCCTTGGGTGGCCTGCACCCAGGAGCAGCCAAGGGAAATGGGTGTCCTGAGCAGGGCCTGGAACCAGCCTGTCCTGCCAATCCATCCTGCCCTCCATGGCCAATCCAGGCTCTGCAGGGACAGGGGCTGCCTGTCCTAGCAGCATCCCATCATCATCATCATCATCATCATCATCATCATCATCACCCTCCAGGCAGCATTGCATCCCCAGCAGGACTGCATCTCCGGCAGCATTACATCCTCATTAGCACTTTGTCCTCATCAGCACTGCATCCTCTCCCTGTGAATGTCACCTCCCCGTCCCCATCTCTGTCCCCTCACCCAGGAACTGTGCCCTGGCCTGGTGGGCGCTGAGTGCCTGGGCTTGCTGCACGTGCTGGGTCACCATCTGCAGCCAGGACTGCGGCTTCAGCAGGCGGAAGAGCTGCGGAGGGACGTAGTCCTGCATCTCCCGCCTGTGGGGAGCCCGAGGTCAGGGCCAGTGCTGGCCAGCGGGTCCCAAATCCTGTGGGACACGTGTTTCCCCCCCTGCAGGTGCCCTGTCCCCTGCCGTACGCGGTGGGGAGGTGGTGGCGGTCCTTGGCTCGGTGCTGGAGGGCGGCCAGCTTGGCCACGTGCGGGAAGTGCTGCTCTCCCGGCCTCGCCGGCGGCAGGACGGTGAACAGCCCCTTGAGGTAGTCAGGGAGCACCTGGAGAGGGGGACAGAGCACAGGGACACGGCTTGGGGACGGGGCACGCTCTGAGGGAGACAGGGAGGTGGCCCCAGGGGAGGCTGATGGGGTGGCCCGACCTGGTTGTAGTGGACAGTGACGTAGAGCTCGTTGTCGAACTTGAGGGGCTGGCTCCAGACCACGCGGCGGCACCAGAAGGTGTAGCTGGTGTCCCGGAGCTCCGTCTCGGCAGCCACGTCCAGGACGTATTCCCGGCGGGTCAGTGGCCGCACGCTCTGCCCTGTGCCACCCAGGCGTCTGAGTATGGCCACCACACCACCCGCATGGCTGTCCCATCCTCTCTTGTCCTGTCCCGTCTGTCCCATCCCTGCCAGCTCCTCACCTCTGTCGGTTACCACAAAGAGGATGTATTCCTCCAAAGCTTCTGGATTCTGCAGCCCCATCTCACAGCACAGCTCCTCGATGACATCCAGAGCCACCTGGGCACAGGGACAGGTGGCTGGGACACTGCCACGTCCCCCTGTTGTGCTCTGGGCCATCAACTTGTCCTGCACTGAGGCTCATCCCAGTGAGGATCTGCTTCTCCCACAGCAGATACAGCCAAAGGGTGCAGCCCCTCCCACATCCACACCCTCTGGGGTGTCACCATAACCTTGGGGTGCACTGAGCCTCCTGTCCCCTCTGGCTTACCGAGCACGTCTTGATCTTGAGGTGCCTCTCGATGCCACCGGGCAGGAAGAAGAGCTGGCGCTTGGCGCTGCGTCCAGCCTGCACGGGAGGACACGTTGGGGTGCAGGGGGGCCCTTCACACAGCAAAAACCCACAGGACACCCCAAATCCTGCAGCTGTCCCTAAGGAACCCTCCCACTGGGATCATCCTGTCTCTTGCCCATCCTGTCCAGCTGAACCATCATGCCCCCGACATGTCCACAGAGCTCCATCCCCACTGGATGTGGGGATGTGGTGAAGAGCAGACCCTAAGAAGGGCTGTGCTCTCTTGGTAAGATCCCCAAAAAGGATCAGCTGAGTTCCAGGGTGGCATCTGAGGGAGATCCCAAGCCCACAGAGGGAACCTGACCCAATGTGGGTACCCAGAACTTCTGGGGGGACCTCAAGCTGACACCAGCCCTGTTCCACCCCGTGGGCACCCACGAGCCCCTGGCCTCACCACCATGGCCTTGAGCTCCATGCTGCTGGGGAAGAGGCTGCGGCCGCCGAACTGCTGGGTTTTCCTCAGGTTCTGCTCGCAGGCTTTGGCGATGCCTGGCAGGAACAGGGACTGGGATGAAGGATGGGGCTGAGCTGCCACGCTGGCTCTGTCACAGCTCCTCCTGAGCTCTGTGACACCCGGGGTGTCCCTTCCCAGCACCCTAGGGTGTGCACGGCCCCTACCGTGGAAAGGCAGCTCCGGGTGCCTGCTGGCATCCTGCAGGAAGGCCAGGAGGAAGGGCCAGAGCACCTCAGAGCACTTGTAGTAGGCAGCGAGGATGTAAAGCAGCCTCCAGCCCCTCTGGCAGCTGTCCCTGTGGGAACAGCCAGGGCTGATCCCCTAAGCAGGGCGAGGGTGCCTGTGGTGGCACACATCCCTCTGCAAGGATGAGGTCCCTGGGTCTCCTCCAGGCTGGACAGGAGTGTCCCTGTGCCAGCCTCTGCTGTCCCACGTGGGTGTAGGGACTCACGGCTTGGAGCTGGTGTTGTTGGTGGTCTGTTTGATGATCTGGCAGAACACCTCATCCCGCAGCACCTCGTGCTCTGCACACAGCTGGGGGGACAGGCACAGCTCTCTGCCACCCCCTGTCAAGGCCACCCCCAGGACTCACCTGCCCAGTGGTGGATTTACCTTGAGGATGGTGCAGACGGCGTCCAGCTCTGTCTGCCCCCGCAGGGGGTGGTCACCCATGAACTTCATCACAGCTGGGGACAACAAAGCCACATGGTGGCACAGCTCAGCGTGTCCCTTCCCCAGGGACATGCTCCCCTGGGTGGGCACATGGAGCAGTGGGACCAGAACTCCCCTTGGACACTCCCTCTGCCCATCCCAGCCCAGCCCTACCCCCCTCCAAGGACAGGGCTAGGGGTGGCTGAGGGACAGGGGGCAGGACACTCGTGCCCCTGCCTACCTTGGAAAGCCTCAGCAGCCAGTTTGTTGAGGCCACCATCCACAAATTCAATGAGTGACTCCTGAATAGGAATCTGGAGCAGCGGGGAGAGAGCCAGCTCTGTCACCCTGCTGGGACCTCAAAGGGAGCTGCAGGTGACAGCAGGACACCCCAGGACTCCACTTGCCCATACCTTGGTGAACGTCAGCATCTCTAGCACGCTTGGCATCTTCATCCCACGGGAATCCCTGGCGGAGGGACAAGGGAGCAGGTGGGCACAGGTGTCCCCACCATGGCACGTCCCTGTCCCACCGCTGGACACTCACGTGGTCCCACGTCGTGCCGCACGGAAATGCCGCTGGGCGAAGGCCAGCATGGGACAGGCCCCGGTGACATCCCTGAGCTGCTCCACACCGTCACCCTCCGCAAAGGTGGCACCGGCTGGGGACACCTGCGGAGCGGGGCAGTGGGCACCGGGCACAGCTGGCTCCAGGGGACAGCCCCAGGCCAGGACCCACCTCGGTTTTCCTGTCCAGCTCCTGGGCAGCAGCAGTGGAGGCCACGGCCACAGCCACGGCCGCCGAAGCCGCCACCTTGCCCTGCTTGTCCCTGGGCTCCTCTTTCCTCTCCGCAGGCAAATGGACGAAGTCGGGCGCCGCCACGGGCTGGACGTACTCGGCAGGGAAGAGCCCTGACCTGCCATGGATGGCCCCAAACTTCCACCCTGTGCCGGACAGATGGTGGGGATGGCCCCAGGCTGGCAGCCGTGGGGTCACCCCTAAAATTCTCTGCCTGCTCCCTCCTGCCTCTGCACCCCCAGCCCTTCTCAGCGATCTGGACGCGGGTTTTGGCTGGAAGCAGCTGCAGTTTGGCATCACTCAAGGAAAGGTATGGACCAAGGGCCACAAAGCCTGTCACCTGATGGACGTGCAGGGGAGTATCTCCCTGCATCAGGTCGGTCCCAAAAAGACCCCAAATCATCCTGCCAAGGGGTGACAGAGGCAGGACCCCGTACTGTGCCCCAGACCCAGGAGGGGACACAGCTCAGGGCACACCAGGGACACACACAGGGACAGTGTGGCACCCACCAAAATCCTGGGTGCCTGTCTTCAGCTCCTCCAGGTACATCACCTTCTTGCGGACCACGCAGCCATAGTAGTAGTCTGCAGGGACACCATGGGGACACCATGGGGTGTCACAGGATGCAAAGCAAGAGCACAGCCACCTCCTCAGCAGGGCAAGCCATTAGTCTACTGCCCCTGTGCCCCCCATCAAAGGTATTTTGGCATGGGGGGCTTTGGGGGGTGCCTCACCTCTCTCAGGGTGCTCCAGTGACTGCAGGTGGATGATGTCCCCTTTGTGGAAGCTGAGCTGGCTCCTGTCCTCCGGGCTGTAGTTCCTCACGGCCACCACATACTGGGAATCCTGGGCACAGGGGGTCTGGCACAGCCCATGCACGTAGGGACACCCACACCCCACCCAGCACAGGGACATCAAGCACCCGCAGCCTCAGAACCATTCTCCCAAATCCAGCCACAGCCCCCTGCCCACCCCAGCCCCCCCAAAGGCAGACACATGGGCAGGGTCTGACCCCCAGGACAAACCCACCCTGGCCCCAGGGCACCTCCCACCTTCCTGAGCTCTGTGATGAAGTGGTCAACCATGACCTTGACCTGGGGGGCTTTGGGGGAGAAGAGGATGAGCTTCTCGCTGCGCAGGTTGAACTCCAGCATGTTCCTGGATGGGGTGGTCACGAAGAGCACGTCGGGGTAGCTGGAGCAGGGCGAGGAGAGGCTGAAACACCCGGAATCTGTGGCACCCACGGTACCCACCCCACCCTGGCCACCCCTACCTGTAGGCCCGCAGCACCCGCAGCTGCTCCCCGGGGACGTTGGTGCCCTTGACCACCCGCAGCAGCTTGATGCCAGTGTGGGACACGGCCAGGATCTGCACACCCGTCCCCACGCTGCCCTGTGGGGCCAGGACAGCGGCTCAGCCAGGAGCACGGTGACACAGGGCCCCCCGTGCTGAGCTGCCCCACGGCTGGAGCCTCACCGTGGCAGGGAAGAGGCGGGAGAAGTACACCTCACAGCCATCCCGGGCTGCAGCAATGATCTCCCTCTTGACATCCTCGGTGGCCACGGGGCTGAAGGAGTCCAGCTTGTTTTCCGCTGTGGGGAGGGGGAAACACCTCCTGTGAGCAGCCCATTCCTGGAGAGGATGTGGACAGAGTTCCCAGCAAAAGCAGGGATGCTCGTGCCCTGGCCATGCCTGGCAGGACTGTGTTGCAGAGACAGATGCGTGTCCCCCAAGCAGCTGGCTGAGACCTGACACTTGTGATGTTGTGGAGCACTAAATTACAGAGGGGTCATTACTTTTGGAGGCAAAACTATCCAGAGTTAAGCAGAACCAGTCATGGCTTGGAGATAGCCAGGAGATGAGGAGAGGCACGAGAGTGGCTGGGTGTGAGCCCCCAGGAGGGACACAGGGTTACCAAAGAGGGATTTCAGGCGGAGCCGCTCCTCCTGGCTGATCCGGATGCAGGTGTCAGACAGCACATCATTGAAGATCTGGGAAAGGGGGTGAGGAGCAGTGGGGTTGTGTGGCGAGGAGAAAAAATCCCCGCAACCCCAGCTTGCAACAGCCTCAGCTCCTCCCCGGCAGCTCAGCAGGGGAAGGCAGATGGCCACAGTGGGATGAGTAAATCATCCCCCCACTGGGGAATACCCCATGTCCCAGGGGATCCCGGGGGGCTGAGGGGCCAGCTCGGTGCCTCACCTGCCGGAAGATGAGGTCGAGCAGCAGTGGGTTATTGATGCTGTCCTTGGGGTAGAAAACCTGCCAGGAGAGAGACCAGGGCTGGATGTAAACCCCCTTATTCCAGCAGGACCTTGGCACCAACCTGTCACCAAGTGTCCCCGTAATCTGTACCTCCTTCCGGATGAATATCTTCCAGGGCACGTTGTGGTAGGTGTAGAAGTCCTCGCTGCAGCTGCGGTGCAGCTGGGTCTGGACCTGCTGCTCCTCGGACGGGAGCTCCCGTGAGACAAAAACTGCAAAGGGATAGAAAGCTTTGCAATCCCCGGGGGGAACCACCAACAGCTGCCTCTACCTGGGGAAACTGAGGCACAGGAAGCAGCTGTGCCACTGGGAGGGCAAAGTGCCTCAATCCACGATGGCCCTGCCAGGGCCACAGCTCTGCCCAGCAATACCTGGGGCTCTTGTGGCTGCAGGACGCCCTGTGGGTGCTCGCAGCTGGTACCTGGCACTTGGCACCGGCTTCACCGCAGCCACCACCTCCTTGGGCCCCTGTGGGGCACAGAGGGGCTGTGGTCAGTGCCAGTGACACCCCCAGCCTGGTTGGGGGACACGGGGACAGCCACATCCCTACCACAGCTGATGGCACCCGGGCTGCTGAGAGCTGCTCCTTCAGGATCTGCAGGGCTTCCTCGTGGGGGTCCAGCTTCTTCCCAAAGAGCTTGCTGCCAAGACAGCATCCCACATCACCTGAACCCCAGCATCAGCTGCACCCCGGCATTCCCTGTACCTGACACCACCTGCAGCCCCATCACTCGGTGCACCCATCACTCCCTACACCCCATCACTCCCTACACCCCATCGCTCCCTACACCCCATCACTCCCTACACCCCGTCACTCCCTACACCCAATCACTCCCTGCATCCCAGCATCAGGACCAGCATGTGCAGCCCCAGGCAGGAGAAGGCCGAGGCTTGGCTGGGGGCCCAGCTGTGTACCTGTGGGGCTGGGAGCTGCGTGGGGCTGGCTGGCACTGCCGGATGATGTTGCGGATGTCGTGCGTGGGCCGCGGGAAGTGCTCCGAGTTGAGCCGGGAATGCTGCACTGGCTCTCCCGACCACCGCTGGCCCACGGCTGCTGCGGAGCCAAGCACACGGCTCAGGGGCCCTGGCTCAGTGCCACGAGCCCCTGTGGCCACCCCATTGCACCGGGACCCCTTACCAGCTTTCTGTGAGTATGGCCGGGGGTGGGGGACATGGGCTGGCGTCCCCTCTGCCGCTCTGCCCTGCAAGGGACACGATGCTATCAACACCTGGCACCTCCAGGGCTCCCAGCCTCAGGGGCTGCCCCAAAGAGGTGCCCTGAAGCAGAGAAGGGGCTCGACCCCTCCTGGCCCCGTGGCACTGACCGAGGGTCTGGGTGGCTGGCTGACATCTGCCCGGCACTGTGGGGATGGGTCTGGCTCTGTGCCTGTGACAGCAAAGAAGAGAGCTCAGTCAGAGCTGTGGGGCTCTGGGTGCAGGGATCAGACAGGGAAACTGAGGCAGGGAGCTGGGTGGGGATGTGGGGTGCTCGAGGCGCTCACCCCTCGGCTGACGCGTCTCCGCAGCCACGGGAGGTTCGCTCCGGTTGGCATCAGTGCCACTGTTCCCCCCTCCCACGCCACCTCCTCCCTTCAGCCTCTGCGAGAGGATGGATGGCTTCTCCAGCTCCTGGGGGACAGCTGTCAGGGCACAGTGGCCAAGCCACCTGCGCCCCAAATGCCTCAGGCAGGGGGACACCCTTCTCACCCCATTGCCGTAGGAGAGCACGGGGTCAAAGAGACTGTCCAGGTACCGGTCCAGACCCTTCTGGCTGCGTGGCTCCCCCAGTTCCCCATCTGTCAGGGGACAAGGCATGAACCACTGGCACGGCAGGGCTTTGTCACAACACTGGGGGACAGGAGCTGGGGGGAACGATGCCCTACCATGGGGGTGATACGTCTCTATGGAGGGCAGTGTGGGGGCTTTCACAGCTGGGGGAGGAGGCACTTCATCCAAATCAAATCCGTGTCCCAGCACCCTGCAGAGAGGGAGGATGCTCTCATCGAGCACCCACTGGATGCCAGGTTTCCCCTCAGGAACCCACCCACCCCTACCAGCACCCATCCAGCCCCACAGTGGGGCACCCATCCCTGCCCGGGTACCTACGGCCGGCTGTCCCTGCTGTGGCTCTCGCTCCCGTCCCACGCGATGAGGAAGCAGGATTTCTGCCTGGGGAAGCCCCGCAGCAGCTCGAGGTCGGAGACAAGGTCCAGGACATAGTCGTGTCCAGCCAGCTCAGCCCACTGGGCACCCGCCTTCATCGCCACGGACCAGCCACGCCAGCCCTCCGCCAGCCCTCTGCCAACAGCCAGACACTGGGGACGGGCACAGGCTGCACAGGGACACCCTGCCCACGAGCTGGGCCCTCGGGCTCCCACATCCTGGGGACACCAAAGACATCCCAGGTGACACCGTGACCCGCTGGGTGGGTGGGTGCCGAGCCAGCACCTACCTGTGCTTCAGGACATCCCCTGCCAGGTCCTCGCCTGTGCTCCAGGAGTGGATGGGGCAGGAGAATTGGTCACCTGGGGAGGGACGGGCGGTGAGCGGGTGCCACCAGTCCCCCCCGCCTGCGAGGGCGGTCACCGTGGGACCGACCCTGGCCAGCACCGCGCCCCAGCGCCGCGCTGCCCGCACCGTTGAAGCAGTGCAGGTCGAGGGCCATGCTGGCCTGCCGCCGGTTCGCCGTCCACTCCAGCAGCGACGGGGGGAAGGTGCGGGCGGCCGCGGCGCCCAGCTGGGAGTGGGCCATGGCGTGCATCAGCTTGCGCTGGCACACCGGCTTGTAGCCAGCGAAGGCGTAGTCAGACACAAACCTGTGGGGAAGGGAGGATGCTGCAGGGGGAGTGTGGGCAGGATCATGTGTGCCAGCTTGGGACAGGGGGCCACAGAGGGATTAAGAGCACCCCTGGAGGGATCTCGGCAGAATCCTGGGCACGTGTGTCAGGCTGGCTCAAGGCACCTTGGAGAGATCTCAGAGCATCTCTAGTGGGATTTGGCCAGTATCACTGGGCACGTGTGCCAGGCTGGCCCTGGGGAACCTAGAGGGATCCCATCCCATATGCCAGCTTGGCCAGAGGGATCCTGAAGGGACCTCAGAGCATTCCCAACAGGACCTGGCCATGTGTGCCAGTTGGGGACTAGGCAGCATCCTCAGCCATAGGTGCCAGGAGAGCCCTGAGAAGCCCCAGCAGTGCACGAGCACCAGTGTATCCCTGAGGGTCCCAGCTGTCACCATTCCCCATCCCAGAGCCCATCCCCAGCTCACTTGAGCAGGTACTTGTCGAAGGCGGCGGACGGGGGGAAGGCGCTGAGGCAGGTGGCCAGCAGCAGCCAGCCCCGCTCCTCGTTGTTGACGTTGGTGTTCCGCCAGACCTGGTTGGCAGCTTGTGCCAGGAGCTCGTCCCGCAGCCCCGGCACCGACAGCCCCTTCTGCACGATGTAGTTGCCAAAGAGGGTCTCCTGAGGGCCGCCCAGCCCCGGGTCCCCCATGAACCGCAGGATCTGCCACAGGGACAGCCAGGTCCTCCCTCTGACCCCGGGCACAGAGCGGGCAGGGGACTGCGGTGATGGATCCTGGGCCATCCCACCTACCAGCTGGAAGAGGCTGAGAGCCTCGTGGCACAGCTCCTCATCCAGCCGGGTGAGGGGGGCTTTCAGTGGGGCCGTCAGCATCCCAAATGCCGGTTCCTGCGGTGACACCCGCACCCATGGCTACCTGGGGACAGCCTCAGGCCATGAGGGGCTGGCCCCATGGTGCTGAGCGTGGTGTTGATGCTGGGTGGAAGCTGTGGGGCTGCCAAAGGGCTGGGGTGAAGGATGGGGCCAGCAGCCTCCTGGGAGTGGGGCAGGGAGGGGCTCAGGCTGTGCCAGCAGCACCGGAGATGGGTGGTGAGGCCTTGGCACGCGTTGCCCAGAAAAGCTGTGGCTGCCCCATCCTTGGAAACGTTCAAGGCCAGGTTGGATGGGGCTTGGAACAACCTGGTCTAGTGGAAGGTGTCCGTGCCCATCGGAGGGGGTGGAACTGGGTGGACTTTTAAGTCCCTCCCAACCCAAACCATTCTGTGGTTCTTTGCCAACACCTTGGCAAGGCTGAGAGCCTCATCCAGCCCCGGTGCTGTCATTCAGGATGCCGGGGACTGGGAAACACAGGGCAAAAACAGGGATGAGGAAGAGGAATGGGGCAAAGTGACCGTGTGTGGGGCCGGGGTCCCGGGAGCAAAGCGACCTGGTCTCCCGCCCCAGCGTTCCGGATGCGCCCCGCGTCGGGCGTCCAGGAGGGCTCAGCGGGTCTCTCTCCGATAACCTCAGCAGGGTCCCCCCGGCCTCTGGAGACGACAGGAACCCACGGGGAGGGAGGGAGGTGGCAGCCAGCTCCCCACAGCACCACAGCCACCCCGGATCCAGCCTCTCTTGCTACCCGTGGTGTCCCCAGGGTGGAAGCCGCGGCAGAGCCCGGTGGGACAGTGCGAGGAGCCACCACGGGGACCCTGAACCTCACTGCTGCACCGTGAGCGGGGTGCCAGGGACTCCCCAAAAGCTGTCTGCCCGTCGGGAAAAGCTCCCCTCCGCCGGGCCGCGGCGCCCACCTTACCTGGAAGTGGCCCCGCACGTACTTGGCCATGGGGTAGTCATTGATGTCGAGCGGGAGGGTGAGCTGGGGGTCGGGCTGCAGCGCCGGCGGCGGCACCAGCACCACGCAGCCGGCATTCACCTCCCGAGCGGCTGCGGCACAGCGGGAAGCTACGGCACGGCCGTGGCGGGGGGAACGAGGGGCTGGGAGCGATGGTGGTGCGGGATCCGCTCACCTGCAGCGGCCTCCAGCAGCCCCATCAGCTCGGCCGGGATCTCCAGGTGGGTGACATCCACCACCTCCCTCCGCGTCAGCTCCTGCCAGCAGCACAGGGATGTGCACGCTTGCTCCCTGCCCCAGCGCCCCGGGTACCAGGTGCAGGGGATGGGCAGGGATGAGGGCACAGCAACACGTGTGCTCCCACCACACATCTTTACCTGCTTCATCCTCTCCTTCTCCTCCTCGGCCCGCCGGCGAGCATCCTCCTTCCTCTGCAAGCAGAGCAGCCGTGCTGAGTCCCACCGGAGGAAGGGAGGCTCTGGGGCATTACAGCACCCTGGGTTGCCATTAACCCCTCCCCAACATCAGCAGGGTTGTCACCCCAAAAAGGCATTGCCCATACCCAATGTGACACGGAGGAGGTGGCACGTGGGGGGGCTCACAGTCTGGGGTTGCCACTGTGTCCTCTCCAGAGCCACCAGTGAACATGCAGCAGGGTGGCAGCAGGTCCCCTGGGCCCCCTGGGATGTGGCAGGTCCCACCTCACCTTGAGGTACCTCCGGCGGTTCACATAGATGTGCACCAGCGACCTGAACTTGATGAGCGTGCGCCGCATGCGCCGGTACCGCTGCCTGCAGGAGGGCACCCGTCACCTCTGCCACCCAGCAGTGCCCACCCGCCACCCCCAGGGACACCCACCTGGCCAGGTATCCCCTTGCCCGGCTCTGCAGGAGGACGATCTTGCGGCGGAGGGAGCGGAAGCGGCGCTTGATGAAGAAGGTGCGAGCGTAGCGCTGGAGCGTGAGCGCGGCCAGGTGATGGGCACGGGCTCGCTTGCTCTCCAGCGCCTGGTACAGCTGCTCCTTCAGGAAGAGCTGGGAGCAGCGGTGAGGCCATGAGCTCCCTGCCTTGGCCACCACACCCAGGGCATCACCAGAACCAAGCCCCCTCCTGGGACAGTACCTTGGTGACACCGACGTAGTACATGCTGGGGTTAACGGGGCAGAGGCTCCTCAGCATCTCCACACAGTTGGGTCCATTGGGAATGACATTGGACCACATATCAACGAGGCAGCGATACCTGGGTGAGCCCATGGCACTGTCACCACACAGGGCCCCGCTGGGACACCAGCACAGACCCTCCGTGTGGTGACAGACACTGCGCCTGGAGATGCAACATCTCCCAGAGCTGTGTGTTGGCATGAGGGGTTCCCAGCTCCCATTGTGGGGGAACCCTAGCCCAGATGCTGCCCCCAAAAACACCACAAACTCTGTGGTCTCCCCTGGCTGGGATGGCAGTGCCCAACCTGCAGCCCTCAGGCACCTGTCGATGAAGACGAGGAAGGGGATGCGGATAGGGAAGCCCTCCTTGCGGATGCGGATGGTCTCCAGGATCCCTGAGTACCGCAGCTGGGCCCTGACCACGTCAGCCTCAAACAGCCCTGGCTCCTGGGGTGGGGATGGGGAGAAGCATCAGCAACTGCTGGGGCAAGCCCCCGGGTACCGTGTGCCCACGGCACTCCCAGTGCCAGCAGGGCAGGAAGCACAGGCACCAGCACAGGCAGCACAGCCCCGGCTCTCACCTTCTTGTTGTTGGGTTTGATGCAGCGCACAAAGAAAGGGTTGCACCTGTGACACAGGGACCCTGTCAGCCACAGGGAACAGGGGACAAAGCCAGCCCAGCCACCTCAGGCTCAGGTCCAGTTGCCAACAGTCCAGTGGACGGCCTGGCTGCCCACC